AAATTGGATTCGATTCAAACAGAAGTAATTGGTGAACTGTTTATCGGAAAATTTAATGAAAGCTTTTCAATTAAATATGAAATTATTGGATCTACTATTAGACCACTGGTCTGAACTTATTCACCAATAATTTTCTGAGCTTCTTTTCTAGCTATATCCTCCATGTCACGACCATGTTTTAAAGATTTTGATTGGGCTTCAGACGCATATAATATATTATAAACCGTGTTCTTATAACTTGTAGTATTACGCATTTTAAAAATCTGACCAAACCGAGAAGCAGGGTCTGGCAACTTCATAAATCGTATTTTTGCGATGGTGCTTATGACATCAGACACTGGGCGCACCACTGTAGAGGCGACCGAATCCGATTGTAGACGAGCACTGCCATAATAATCATAAATACATAACCATAAATCGTAACGGATTTTTTTTCAATTTGTTTTCTCCTCAGTTTTCTCGTTGTGAAAATGTGAAATTTAAAATTGTGAATTGTATACTTGACTATGTTGTGAATTATGATACACTTTTTTCCCTGTGTCTTACCGCCAAACAAGTATACCGGTTTAACGTTTAGTGAGTATTGTGTTATTATTTATTTTTGAGTATACTGTTGTCTGTTCTGCGCGTTCATCTCAATTTATACTTTGATAATCGAATACAACAAAATGACGAGGCACTCGTATAAATGTTACATAGCTGGATGCAGTTCTAAAGATTAGTAATTTATAGTCTTATGCATGAATAAATTATTGTTATTTTCATTTTATTTCGGGTAATTACACCTCACTTGAGTCATTAAGATAAATAACATATAATTGTTGTAAAATGTTATAGCTAAATTATCTTTATGGTAGGTAATAGATAAATAACCACAAAGACCTACAATAACTTACTTGTAAATAGGTATACTATTATCAAAGGGGCATAAACTAGTTAATAAGATAATTATTTTTTAACTTTCTAACCTAACAATTTAGTTAATTTTCTAATCCAATATAATACACAATTTTATTTTATTTTATTTAGATGTAATTTCTCATCGTTTTCCAAATCCACGGCTATATATGGGACGGCTACTTTTTTTATTTTTATTTTTTATAATAAGGTACTCCTAGCTTACGCTATCTATACCTAGGGATGAAAGATAAAATACATTTTGGTGTATTAAGTGCGATAAATAATTAAATTACAATTTTACGTTAGATGATAACAGTAGTTAGAGAATTAAGTTAGATAGTGTCTTGAGGAATTAGGTCATGCGGGCGACCTCGTTTGAGACGGTGCTGTGGAGGTGGTCTGATATTGATGTGGTAGTGCATTGAGCCTGTTGACCTATGGATGGGTTCGAAGAAGCTCACAGCCGTGAACTTGATGTGGTCTTGAATAGTTGAAATTTTGAGGTCGTTGTGTATGTTGGAGTTCCTTACGAACCATGGAGCGTTTGTTATCGTTCTTAGAACTTTGTTTTGAAATATCTGCAGTTTTTTGAGATGAGTTTGTGTAAGTGATTAATGGACGTAGTACTTGCTTATAAATAAGTAAGGAAAGGTTTTTTTGAAGGGAAGACTTTCTGTTTAAGATAGGGAAGAACATCCCTAAACGTTGATAGGCTTGTTGAAGTTTAGATGAGAGGTGTGGCCACCAGGTTAATCTTTTGTCCAACGTTACACCAAGGTAATTGACGGATGGCTTCCATGAGATTGGTTCGTGGTCAAAAATTAGCGGTGGTGGAGTAGGATACTGCGTAGACTGAATAATACACTTACGCTTTTTGATGGATTAATTAATATTTTCCAGTTCTTGCACCAGACAGATAATGTATTTAAGTGGTTTTGTAGGTGTACAGATATTGCTTCTGGGTTGCGTGATTCAGAGTAGATGACAGTATAGTCCGCGAAGAGGGCTATGTTTGTGTGCGGTGATTGCGGGATGTCGGATGTGTAGATGTTAAATAATGTTGGACCTAGTATAGATCCTTGTGGGACGCCAGCTAAGATTGGTTGGAAAGAAGAAAAGCTGTCATTTATTTTAACAGAAAACTGCCTGTTAGATAGAAACGAAGTTAAGGAGTTGAGTAGGTAATTTCGTGTGTTGATAATTTTGAGCTTGTACAACAACCCATGATGCCAAACCTTATCAAATGCTTTTGAGATGTCAATGAAAACCGCACCAGTGTGACAGTGTTTTTCATATGAGTTGCTTATATGTTCGGTTATGCGCATGAGTTGCTGTGTAGTTGAATGATGTGCTTTGAAACCAAATTGAAATTTTGGAATTGTGTCTGTACAGTTTAGATATTTTTGCAGTCTCGAGAGGATGATTTCTTCGTACAACTTAGATAACGAAGTTAGCAGACTAAGAGGTCTGTAACTTTCGGGGTCTGTTTTGTCTTTCCCAGGTTTTTTTATGAGTATTATAATTGCATTTTTCCAGTTTTCCGGGAAGTGACCAAGGCGAAGAATCGAATTACATAGAGAAGTCATGAACATAATTGCCTTGTTAGGAAGTTTTTTGTTCATAAGATTCGTGATGTTGTCGTGGTCAGGAGATTTTTTATTAGGTAGCCTTTTAATTATTGTTTTAATTTCACCCGGAGTAACATAATTGATTGAATTTTGTACCGAGAAGTTCGGTGATCTCAGAACATCTACAACCCTAAGATCATTGGAGTTGTGTGCGTATTGATTCAGGACGAAAGTATTCGCAAGGTTTTCCGAAAACAATTTGCATTTATCCGCGTCAGAAATTATGAGACGAGTTGGAGTGCGAAGAGAAGGAATGCAATTTGTTTTTTGGTTTAAAAGATTTTTTGTGACTTTCCATAGGCTAGAGTCATTTTGATGAATATTTGACAAGAACTTGCTATATGAATTTACGCGAAATTGTTGCAGGGCGGTTTGCACTTGTTTAGTAAGCTTGTTTAACGTTATTTTGGCTGCTAGGTTTCTCTGGTTTTGCCAAGCGCGTCTGGCGATGTGTTTTTGTTTGATTAAAGTCAATATGAACAGTGTTAAAGCACCGTGATTTTTTTTGAATTGGATTTTGGGGGTGAGTCGACCGAGCACGCCCGTGCAGCATTAGTAACGACTTCGGTGAATTTATCATTTATATAGTCTGAGTAAGTGCACCAGTTTGGTTTACCTTTGAAAAGTGAGACATTTAAGCGGTAAATTGCAATGGAGAATTTAAATGTATTATTACTGGATTATGAACCGAATCGAGTTCAGAGAGGGATTCTTGTGCGACGTTGAATTGAATTGATGTGGTTACTAGAATGTCTAGTTTGTCAACAAATCGATTCATATCCGAAGGAAAATAAGTTGGTAAGCTTGGTGCAGATACTATACATGCAGAGGTATACTCTGTTCAGCGAGAGAGCATCCGCGGCCCGATGAAAATCGGTTCGTTCTGCGCATCCTCTCGCGTCACCCACCCATAGCATTCCCACTCTTTGACAAACACAGTAATCGGGTGTCGTCGTGTGTCGGTCGGGCTTCGGAGGTGGTGCCTCTAGCGAAAACAGCTGTGTGAGTGTGTACAAAACGCCGCCGCCGTGCCTGATAGCCCGTAGCTCGGTGACTCGTTTCTCAACCGTTGACCGTATTACGTGTTTATAGAAACGATTTTTAACAGCGCTTTATTTTGAATTTTTTGCAATGAGTGACACTGACGCACCATCCACATCTAATGCTGCTTCTCCTCATACACCAGTTAAAAAAAATCCATGCGGGAAGGTAAGTGTCGATCGTTATTACACACGGTTTGTATTGATAAAACAAAACGTGTCTTAAACATAACAACCTTGATTGTTATAGGCATGCGCATGGGGAATGCCGAGTATGCCATGGCATCCCCTGCAGAGTCATCTTAATTCTTAACCATAACGTTTTTATAGTTGTAAGTTTTTTGATTATAAATTAGAATCATGAGATAGTTGATAGTATCTTGGTTCAAAAATTTAAATATTTTGATTAATTTTTTATATTATTTTCTTATAATAAAATATTGGCCGTTGAGACGAAATCAAATATTAGGTAATTTGAATTCATAATTATATTATATTTTCATACTACCTACAACTATCAAAAATAAAATAATTTTGATTATTTAGATTATCATTTTTTGTCATTATTATATTATTATAATATGATCAAATGGCTGTTGGTTTCTATACTGTTACTTCATTGGAATGAAACCACAGTACAAACTTTTCAAATTAAAATATCTAAAGCCAATAACTAATAAGCTAAATAAAACGCATGTTAATTTCTTTTTGCTGTATATAGCAAGTTATACCTATTAAGAGTTGTTTTTGGGGAGTTATTTTTTGTTTTGAGCTAGGTATGTTTAATAATAGTGGCATTCCCTGTGAAAAAAGTCTGCGCACGCCTATGTTGATTGTCTAATATACAAAATTAAAAATCAAACTGAATTATTTGTTTATTATTTTAATTTCAGTTCGTTGGAAGTAGACAAAAACAAATGATAGTAAACTTATACAAACGCAAAATTGACGAACAACCATCTATTACGGTTAAGGAAGTGGTGAAATTGCTATCCAGGGATACGGGTATTGGCCAGAATACGATCCAAAGGACAATTGCCGAGTACAAGAATGCGAAACCAATAAAATCACCGAACAAAAAGAAGATCAGGCAGACATTCAAAGAAAAAGTCGACGATTTTGAACGGAATGCTATACGTAAAAAGGTACACAAAAGGATTTTTGGTTTAGCCGTCAGGTACCCACACTGGCCAAGATCTTAATTTCTGTGAATAGTGACCCAACACTAAACACATACAAAAGAACCAACCTATACCATTTATTACGTGAGCTAAATTTTACGTATTGTAAAAGAGGCCGTAATAGCGCACTTATTGAACGGGACGACATTGTATTGTGGCGAACCAAATATATACAAGATATCCGAAAATATCGCCAAGAAGGAAGATCAATTTATTATTTAGATGAAACGTGGGCAAACATTGGTGATTGAATGGAAAAAATTTGGGTTGACAAAACCATTAAATCACACAGAGACACGTTTTTGTCTGGCCTTTCGACAGGTGCTCCCAACCCAACAGGCAAAGGAAAACGACTCATTATAGTCCATATTGGATCAGAAGAAGGATTCGTCAATGGTGGTCTGCTGGTATTCGAATCGAAAAAAGGATCAGCTGACTACCATGACGAAATGAACGGGGATTCATTTTTTGATTGGATTAAAGGTGTCATTCCATTGTTAAAAGACAACAGTGTCATAGTAATGGATAATGCACCTTACCATTCGGTGAAAGTCGAACGATGTCCAACAATGAGTTGGAAAAAAATAGACATAGAAAGTTGGCTGGAACAAAAGGGCGAGGTTTATGAAAAGCCACATAACAAAGTTGGTCTCATGAACATTGTTAATCGGATTAAACCGCAGTTTAACAAATACGTCATTGACGAGTATGTCAAATCCAAAAATATGGTCGTATTACGTTTACCGCCGTATCATTGTGAACTGAATCCGATTGAGCTAGCATGGTCGTCTGTCAAAAGGTACATCAAAATGAATAATTCAACATTTAAGCTACCCGATGTCAAAAAGCTCGTTATTGAAGGTATCAATGAATGCGGCCCCGAAAAATGGAAGAACTTCGTCAGTCACGTAATTGACGAAGAAAAAAGATTCTGGGACATCGACTTTGTCGTGTAGGAAGTCATGGACAATTTAGGTGATTGTGTGATGACAATAACTGGTGACACATCTTATTCAGATTCAGATGATTAAATATTAATATTTTTTTGTTTATTTTATTATATATTTGACTGATTTTTAATTGATTTTTAACTGATTAATAAAATTGTTACTTTTACCATATATTTTGGGTGTTATTTTTTTATTTTAATGGTTAAAATACTATAATAATAATAAGAGTATATTAAAATAAATAAATACGAAAATATTTACGAAATGCTGGCAGGCGGCAACAATCAACAGGTTGCGCGAGTCAGATGACCGGTGGCGTCGCGAGCATCGACGTCGCGGTCGGTCGCCTATTATCGTTGCCACCTTCACGACAACCAGGCATCTTGGAAGGGGAAATAGATTCTCAGCGAGCAGCCGGTCCACCAGTCTATATGCGCAGAACCGGCATGCTCTCTCGCTGAACAGAGTATAGATATGTATTTTTGTAGTTTAATACCGTTTGGATTCGAGACACGGCATCCCCAATTTATGGGCTACTTAAGTGGATGGAAATTGTAGGCCTGAATAATATGATACCTGCGAATGTATACATCAAAAAAAGAATCAGTGATGCCCACTTTGACACAAATACAAAATGTCCTGGCACTAAAGCTCTGAATGCGAATGCATACCCTACATTGAACATGTCAAATAATTGTTTTGAATAATTTTTATAATTATTGCTGGATAAAGTTTTATTTTTAATCATAATTTTGTTACTAGGTATAGCTATAAATGTGATACCATCTGGGTCAAGTGTTTAGGTGCAGTCTGCTAGTTCAAATCATACTTTTAACAACGACCAGAGTAATGATGTTGACATGTCTGGTGTTGATAACTCAGTTATTCTGATCAACAACCTGGTATGCTTTTATTACATACTTACAGTGTTATACTTTTATTAGTCATTGTTTTTCTAATGTTATTTACTTTTTATACTTATTTCCAGTTATAAGTACTTTTGAAGAAAATGCAACTGTTACTGACCCAATGAGTGAGTATTTAGGTTCTGTTGATCCATCAACATCGTATACGTCAAATATAGTAGTGCAGTCTCCTTTCTCAAATGATTCTTTTAACAACGACGAGAGTTATGATGTTGATATGTCTGGTATGGAACCATTCAGTGAGTTTATATTTTTGCTTTGTATTATAATTATTGCCTTGAATGCTTAGCTTATTTTGTAATTAATATTTGAGCCTTTTAATATGCTTTACTTAAATAGTGCATGATGAACACCAAAAAGTTGTCAAATATAGAAAAGAAAAAAAGCCTGTAGTTAAGCGCTTACAAAAACATATTAACTCCCTATTATTTTCTACTGATTAAAAAACTGAAATTTATGAATAGTAGTACCTGGATCCCTGGGTGTTGTCTACCGCCACCGACACCGCCACAGCACCACCACCACCTCTCCTCTTCACCGCTCTGTCTATTCCACCGTTAGCCGATACCACCACCACCGCCACCACCCACCCCGCCAAAGATCGGGCTACCGCCACCACTCCTACCCACCGCCACCGCAACCGCCACCACCACCGCCCAGCCATGGCTTTCCCGGCATCACTATTCTTCGGAGAGGAATAGAGGATCATGCCGCCGTTATACCTACGTGTGCATTATACACACACATATACATGTTTACACACATGCATATGCAACCGGGTGGTCAAAGAAACTGCAGCAATCACATCATAATTGCTTACATATAAATTAAGCATAATTAATAAATCGTAGGATGTTTTTTCACACACATGTCTTTTTACTTAGTTTTTTTTCATGTTGATTTTTGGTATTCAGCATTTCCATTCACTTAAAATCCCTGTCCTTCTGATTTGAAATAATGATAATCAGTATGAGTTATATTTTGTACCAAAAAGTGTTAACTTATTCCATAATGTTTAATTTGGCAGTCATTTTTTTAAATTTCTTTTTAAATGATAAAGAATTTTCAAGGCGGAAAAAGAATAATAATGAATTCGTTATTCCGAATCAGGATTTTCCTGCAATGTAAGTTTAATGTTATTATTTTTACTATTACTTTATTAATCAAATTCGATTTTTAGTGTCGATGAACAACCATTGCCCCAGCCAATAAATTTACGCGATGCACTTCTCGAGAACGCGCCCATCAATTTGATGGTTCGCGGTGGAGTGCTACAACCTGTCATCCAAAACGGAATGTTTGTGATGTAAGTTGTTATTATTATAAAAATATTTTTTTTTTCTAACATTTAAAAAAATAAAAACATCTTTATAGTAGTGATGACGAAGTAATGCCTACTGATGAAGATTCGAGTGATGAAGAAATGTCAGAAACGTTCTCACCAAATATATCATCCGACGAAGATTTGTGATGTTAAATAAATAAAGTTACAAAATATTAATCAAGAGTTGTATTATTTTTATTACGACTGAATATTCACACGCTCAATTATTAATTGTTATAATATAATATCACCAAATATATCATCTATCTACTAGATTCAAATTCAGTGCATGCTTCTAGCAATAACCGTTCGTCGTCCCTGTATCCTTCTGCCCAAATATAACGTTCCAGTGCTTCAAGGCATGTAGCATCTGAATCTTCGTCAGTCCATGAGTCAATATCATCTGCAGGTTTATCTATGATAGTAAATATTTGCTATACATAATGCATATGAAAAAACAACATTAATTGAACATACAATTTATTTGTTGGTGATTCGACAAATGTTTGACATTGTTTCTAGTCTATAACAGCATATAACGTTGTTAATATAAGTGCTACAATAATATTATATTTTACCGTACTAACTTCGTCAACGGAAATGATTTCTTCTTCGGATAATAAATCATTGTAATATGCCCGCCTCGGTGTATTCGATAGCTACAAACAGTGGCGCCCAGACAGGTTAGCAAGGAGTGCAACTGCATGTGCTTTCGTGGGGGGTGGGTGGGTAGGTATAGTCTCTATGGTTATAGGTACCTAGATAAATTATAGGAGTAAACGAGTAAAGTATGACAATGCTATACGACAACTTATATGATGTTACAAGTTACTTATAATTACAACATATTAAATGATAAAGTATTAGAAACAGTAATAATTGTTATTTGTTATATCATCTGAATCAAGAATAATACAATATTCGAATATTAATGTTGTACACTGTTTAGCTGATACGCTCGTATATTTAATATTTAATATTATGAATTATTATATTTTTGTATACGTAATCAAAATGACAATACGGGTAATATGGTGATAAGATACCAATAACAGCGTATATTAGTTATTTTTTTTTTTTTAAATATTTAAAACCAGAAGTCATTTGTGATGAATATTTAAATTTCATACAATGTTTTGATGTTTTTCTTAAAACTGATGAGTTGCCAAAATATTTACATAGTGATAATGAAATAGCTAAAGATTCAGATTCGAATTAGAAACGGAAAATTATGATAACGATGTTGATGATGATAGTGATTCTTTAAAAAATGAAATTGAAAATCATGGAAGTTTGTTACCAGTAATCAGGTAAAAAATCTTGTATTGCTATTTTCTATGTTTTTTTTTAATGTTCTTGTATTCAATATGTTTACTGAATTGTATTAAATTACTTATTTATGTACAACTTTTTTTACAGGGTTTTTATGCGCAATGGTCTTCATACACTATTTCCAAATATTTATATTTTGTTGAAGCTGTCTTTGACCTTGCCAGTTGGAAGTGTATCAACTGAAAGAAGTTTTTCAAAGTTGAAACTCATTAAAACTAGACTACGATCTACAATGGGAAATGATCGATTAGAAGGACTAATGATTATGTCCTGTGAAAATGACATAAACATTAATTATGAAGAAGTTATTGAAAATTTTAGTAAAACTAGTCCATATTTATTTAAAGCTTTACATTAAAAATAAAAAGTGTTAACTGTATAATGTCATTACAAAATCTTATTATTTTTTTTTTTAATTAAAATTTTTGTATTTCATTGAGTATTAAATATGTTATATTTATAATGTATTGTAATGAAATGTAAAGGTAAGATCTAGCTGATCTAGGACGTCTCGGGTTTCTGGTGTGGACATCTTAATTATTATTTCTAGTTATTTTAAGTGAATTACACTTACAGATAACAGTTCAATAAAAAAACGTTTTGTTTTTAAATTTAAAAAAATGGGTGGGACGGGGTGGGTGGGTAACTTTAGATAGTTGCATGTGCTCTCAAAATACCTCTGTGCGCCACTGGCTACAAATACATAAAATGTATTATTTTTAATATATATATATATGTAATTTAACTTACCATTTCATCAAACTCGCCATTTGCTAAGAAATCAATGAAACCTGATGAAACATCAGGTGTGTTTATAGTCGATACCTGGCTGGAGTATGACATTTTAAAAAGAAATGATAAAAAGCTGAAATAATTGTTTTAATAACTGCGTTCAAAAATGCACTAACAGTGCATTGAGATTTATCATGGGTATTATGTTTAAGAAAAAAAATTACATCGCCACACGGGGGGGTTTAAAACAGCTAAGACAGCAAAAAATAAAAAAAATGATTATTTGACTTGACCATTGTCATAACTCATAAGCGTTAGTAACAGTCATTTGTGTGTGTGTGTGTGTGTGTCACAGCCCTGTAGTTATTGTAACAATCTGACTACGCTCGTTTGATGGTGTTGAGAATAAATGAACAAGAGTTTGTTTTTTTTTCTTTATAATTTGAATACTTTTTATTTAATTAATGCAAAAACACAATAAATTTACTAAGTCCAAATTGACTATTTTAAATAATGAAGACTAGCGAGATGTGACTTTCATATCCTAGTTCCTAGCTTGTCGTTGGTGTTGATCCGTCTAGTTCGTCTAGCTCGGTGTTGTTAGTCCGTCTACCGAAGCTTATTCGTGCGACGTTTTTATAATGGTGATCCTTGGATCATATCCCTGCCTATTATCCTACTACTTGACCATATAAGGTCATACCGTGTGCACACGCCGGATGTCCCTTGCTTATCTGGTCGTTGTCATCTCTACAGAGGCAACACAACACTTTTAGTGTGAACTATTTTAATAATATTCATATAAGTAGTTATATATCTATGAACATATACGTTTCGAGGCCACGCGAAATTTATCATAATGAATAGGCGCTTTGTAGGCCTCCCTCAACTATTATATATATAGAGTTCTTGTCCAGGTTATTTATAATATTTTAACAAAGTCACAGCTCACTACATTATCGTTATATTAAAAATGTTTGAGTGCGATAAGTGTGTATCTGTTTTCTCCCGGAAAGATATTTTATTAAGACATTTAAAGTGCCACAAGAACACTGAACAAATTAAGTGCTTTATTTGCAGCACTTTTTTTAGCAGAAAGGATGCTCTAAAACGACATTTGAAAAGTATTCACGGTGAGTAAATTTTTTTTTTCAGTGTAATGTTTGTAATGTCATAGTTGCGTGGTTCTCTCGTAGTCGTGCAATATATTAGTCTTGTATAAGAAAAAATTTAAATAATTTATCATTATTGCATGAAAGTTTCACTGTATGAGGATTATATCGAAAGAAAAATAATTTTTTATCAATATACAATGATAAGACAGGTACTAGATATATATATAAAATCTCAGTTTCGCAACTACAATCAACAAATAACATAAATATAGATAGTAATCAGTGATAACTTATCACATTTGTTTACCCGGTGCGCGTATGCGACGGCCATCGAGATAGATAAACAATACTGGAGCGCGCTCTTACCAATATCGTCCGTGAGACGAAAACAAGCCATTTCTTGAACGTTACCCCCACCTCTGCAGGGCAAAAAAAATAGCTGCAAACTTGCGAACGTGCTAGAGAACATAAACGCCTTATAATAATTTAGGTACTTCCACTCGTCCGATTTTAAAAATTAAAAACTATTTGTACTTGTTAACAAGCCTACTATACAGCGATATAGTTTTAAACAGAAAAATAAAAATAAATAGCTACCTACACAAAAGTATAAAACGAATAATTGTAATTATTACAATAATATAGTGATTTATCGTGTTTACAGCTAACCATTTATCTTTTAACATAAGCAATTACATTAAGGTGGGTATCGACTACGCGCGGCTGCCTCGCGTGCCATGTTCGTCCGCGGCAAACCAGACATTTGCCGCGAGAGCCATATTTAGGTACTATACTTTTAAAGAGCGCTCCAGCCTCGCGCGGCAAGTGATCCAGCTGTTCGCCGAGCGATTCCAAGACCCGTTCAGTGGTTCACGATCAACCATGGACGTATCACGTGCCCGTGCTGCTGCCGCTTTCATCGTGATACATCACATTATTAAAAAAAAGCCTAAACGAAAACCACGTTGGTGGATGAAGAAATTGTATTTAAATCGAATGCAGTATGGGGTGAAACTTATGGAAGACATGAGACATGAAGCCATTGAAGATACAATAAAAAATTTTACAAGATTGACAACTATAGAGTTTGAGCACCTGAAATCATTAATTGAGGCACAGGTGAAGAAAATGGACACACAATTCCGAGAGGCAATTTCAGTAACAGAAAGATTGGCTATAACTTTAAGATTTTTAGCAACTGGTGACTCGTATACAAGCTTGCAATATCTTTTTCGAGTATCAAAACAATCGATTTCACGAATAGTTCCAGAAGTTTGTGACGCTCTATGTAAAGCTCTGAAAGATTGGGTGAAGGTAAGTAAATCATACACAGTTTTAATTTAACATTTGAATGTATATTGCAATTGCTTGAACTTAAAAAAAATGTTTAAATATTTAATCCTTAAATAAAATGTAAAAAAACGTAAATCTTAAATATTTTTATAAAACTTAAAAACAATTAAATCCTTTTTATAAAATATAAAAACAAAATTAAATTCTTTTTATAAAACTTAAAAATAAAATAAATCCTTTTATAGGAACTTTTTTCTTAGGGAAAAAAATTGTTTTCTTCATCAGTCCATTAACCAAGTTAAGTCAACCGGATTTTCAGAAGATGACTGTAGAAGAAATTCAACTGGAGTCTGAGAAATAACTGACAGCTGAGGAGAATAAACTGCAGGAGACTGAGGGGACGGAACTGGAGGCTGAGTATATGAAACTGCCGAAGTTTGAGGAGACGGAACTGGTGACTGAGAAGTAACTGAAAGCTGAGGAGAATAAACTGAAGGAGACTGAGGGGACGGAACTGGTGACTGATAAGTAACTGACAGCTGAGGAGAATGAACTGCAGGAGACTGAGATGGAACTGGAGGTTGAGGAGATGGTGTCGAATTTTGAGTAGTGTTGTATTGTGTATGTCCATAGGTGTAATATCCCAAATCAGCTTCAAAAATCACATTGTTGATTGCATTTTTCACGTAAATTAAAGTTCGTTGATCATATTTACGGAGTTCGTTTGCAATGTGCTGGCCGTAAGTGAAATATGAATCAGTTGCCGATGATGTTTCATTTAGAATTTTAAATGCTTTTTTCAGCATAGGTGACTCTTCTTCAGTATTTTGTTTCCTTTTTGGTTTTTTGACTATAGGTGTATTCGGAGCTTCGTGAATATCTATTGGTTTTTCTACATGTTTATCTGTACTGCCCATAGCTGATAATTGTATTGGTTCTATATCATTGTTTTCATGTATTGTCACATTTTGAGTTGTTGATATCTATAAAACAACAAATAAAGTTTAGAAAAAACTATGAACTCACTCCGCTGTAATATAGTAGTTGTCGAATAGACCTCAGTGGGTAGTTCGCTATATAATATATGTGTTAAATTTGAATGCAATGATATATTATTATATACTTTTGTACGAAAAATGATTCTGAACAAAGACGATTGCAGCCTAGGATAATTTTTATTATTACATTTATGCAAACTTAAACTTGAAACGCTTATAAAAATCTAAAATTTGATAATATTATGCTTATTAAATTGTTTCAGGCACCCGACTCAGAAGAAGAATGGTTAGAGTTAGCATACGAATTTGAAACAAAATGGAATTTTCCTCATGCAATAGGCGCGTTAGATGGCAAGCATGTAACGTTACAAGCTCCTATTAACAGCGGTACTGAATTTTATAATTATAAACATTTTTTTAGTATAGTACTAATGGCTTTAGTAGACGCAGACTATTGCTTTAGGTACGTAGATGTTGGTTGTCAGGGTAGAATTTCTGATGGGGGTGTTTTCAAGAATACTAATTTGTACAAGAAACTCGAAGAAAAATCTATGAAAGTCCCCCCACCATCAATACTTCAGGTCCCCTATACTTTCAAAGTACCGTATGTAATTCTGGCAGACAAAGCTTTTGCACTCAATGATTACACAATGAAACCATTTCATGGAGAGCCGGCTAGAGGTTCTCAGGAAAGAATCTTTAATTATAGGCTCTCTCGAGCGCGTAGAGTCGTTGAAAACGCTTTCGGTATTCTCAGCTCAGTATTTAGAGTATTACGGAAGCCTATGTTACTAGAACCAAAAACCGCTACTAAAATTGTCCTAGCCACTATTCATTTACATAATTATTTGAGGAAAAAACCAAATACACGATCACTGTATACACCACCTGGATCTCTAGACAGTGAAACAGATGGGAAACTTACACCTGGAACTTGGAGAAATGAACCTGCACCTACATCACTACTGCCTATTCCTTCAATTCCACGAAGAGCGGGAAACCATGCACAAGAAATACGTGCACATTTAGCTTATCATTTTGTTACCAACGGTGAAATACCGTGGCAAAACAGATATTAAAAAAGATATTACATTATATCATATTATTAAATTATTATTTTAATTATATTATTATATTAAAACAGATATTACAATAATTTTAACTTACATCTTCCAGCTCCAGCATCGTGTCTGATGTTTCATTAGGCACGTCTTTATCTTTCATAAAATTAAATTCGTCAAAAGCAAACCACTTTGATACGTAAACTTGATGTGTACCTAAAATATAATTAATAATTCATAAGTGTAAAAAGTTATAATAAGTTGTTTAATTAATTATGTTAAAATTAAAAATACTATTAACATGTCGTCTGTTACAAACGTTTCTTAAAATAAATTACTTATTCATTTGGTATATTTTGTTTTTTTTATAAATGTCAATAATATTTTATTTGTTTGTTTAGTTTTAAAAAGTGTGAATATGTCATATAAAGCTCCTGATATATTGTTACAATAATAGCTGAAAAATATGAAAAAATACATAGGCACATTTTTTTTATAAGCATTTAAGGTTCAAATTTTGACAAAATTTAACAAAATCTCAACCCATAAGAACATATTGTATAAAATGCATTAGAGGTGGTTTGACATTTTTCAGTTAGTGGTTCAAGAATAGT